GCAGTTAAGCCTATCCTTGATTCTGCGCTTCTATTCATGAATCTTTCCCAGATCTAGAGCGTTTTTATTTGAGTTGTTTAAGTTGTTTTCTCCTCTGCAGCCTTCTGTTTACATATCGCTCCACATATGCAAGAGGCAGCACGCGGCTGTGCACGACGTTCTGGCGTTCAATGTTGCATCCTATGGAGCTTGCGAAAATTTAATTGTTCCCTTTATTTTTAATCATTTTGACTTTATCCGTTCATTTTTATCCTTTTAAGCCATGGATTTCTTCATTTTCCCCAGTATTCCACGATGTCTATCGCTGACTAGCTTCTTATTTCTTGCGCAAATGCTTGATGAATCTGTAGGCCACAGAGGCGGTGAACACCTGCATTCAGTCAGGCATGAAGGTCGGGCTGGGAACAGGATCAACCGCTTCGTTTGCTGTGCGGCGTTTGGCTGAGAGGATACAGCAAGGAGAACTGACAGGCATCAGCTGTGCTTCAACGAGCGAGGAAACCCGAAAGCTCGTACGCAAAAAATGCACAGATCTCCATAAGAAACCTTCCAAAGAGCTGCCATTTATAGGACTCCTTTCCCGCTTCAGCTGCAGCAGCAGCAGCTGCAGCAGCAGCAGCTGCAGGAAGAGGCTGCGCATGCATCGAGCGTTTTCTTTTTAGGCGGAGTCCCTCGGCATTTCTGTTCTTCCTCTCGATGAAATATCTCTTCCTCTCGATGTCGCAATTGACGGTGCTGACGAAGTGTTCAAGACAGGCAACAGGTGAGGGAACTCAGCATCATTACAACTTAAAGCAAACAGAATCTATGCTCAATGAGAGCTGCTGCAACTACTGCTGCTGCTGCTGCTGTTGCTGCTGCTGCTGTGGTTGCAGCTTGGTGCTCGTAAAAGGGCGCGGAGGCGCTCTGATGCGGGAGAAGTTGGTGGAGGTGAACAGCAAGAGATTTGTTTGCGTAGGTTTGCTGCGGATGCATGCATAGAATGCAAGTCGCTGCATGCATTTGGTTTCTATGAATCGGTACTGTATTGCTTTCTAAGGCTACAGGGCTGCGGTGTACGGTGATTTCGGGTGTATACTCAGCTGCGGTGTATGCTGCAGATCGTTGATGAAGACAAACTTGTTACAGATAAAACATTTGGAACTACGGGAGCGCTGCCTCTGGAGATTGTGCAGTTTGGGGCTCAGGCAACGAGACGGTCTGTGCTTGCTGCTATTGTGAAGGTTATAGAGGAGAAGGCCCCCCAGGGGGGCCCCTCCGAACAAGACCCTGAAAAAGCTGCGGAAGCACTGGGTGTCTCTGCGGTGTACAGACACTGCAAAGGAAGCAGCAACCAACTCTTCGTCTCAGACAACGGAAACTTCTGTCTCGATCTCTTCTTTAAAAGACCCATTAAAGACCCGCACAAGTTGCATGACAGGCTCATCAATGTAAACCCTAAACCCTAAACCCTAGACCCTAAGCCTTAATCAACCCTGGGCAAACAACAGAAATAACTCCTCTCTTCTGCGTGTTGCTGCAGCTCGTGCAGTTGCTGCATTTGCTGCAGTTGCTGTCTGCTGCAGCCGCTGCAGCTCTTCCTTGATTCCCTTGATAGTTTGTGTGTGCTGGGGCTTGGTGCGGTGTGTTATATATCGCCTTTTGAATCTCTTTGCACTGCATGC